CCCCCCAAAACACGGAGCCAGGCTTGGAGCAGCCCCCCACCCAAGATCTGGGGTGAATCCAGCTCTCCCCATAATGAGGGGGGGTGAGATCCCCTCCGGACCCCCCCCCCAAAATCCCCCCAAATTCTCGGAGCCGGCTCTGGGCAGATCCTTTATTGACTTTGCACTGGGGGGTCCCGCACTGGGCCGGGGTCTCCTCACATGGGCTTGGGGGGGGGCCTGGGGGCTGCTCCCTGCAGAGAGAAACAAAGTCAGGGGTGCTGGGGGGGGGCACAGACCCCTGGAGCCCCCCAGGACCTCCCCACGTATCCCCAGACCCCTCCAGGACCCCCTCAGACCCCTTGAGACCCCCCCAGGGACCCCTCTGATCCCCCCAGACCCCTCCAGGGACTCCTCCCAGGAGACCCCAAACTCATGGTGGGGTGGGGGCTGCAACCCAGACCGCCCCCCCGCCCTCCCCAAAACATCTAGGACCCTCCCAAACACCCCTGGGACCCCCCAGACCCCTTAGGGACCCCATAGGACCCTCCTAAATACCCCTGGGACCTCTTGGAGACCCCTCCAGACACCCCTGGGACCCCCTCAAACACCCCTGAGACCCCTCTTGGCCCCCCCAGACCCCCAGGGACGCCCCCCAGACACCCCTGGGACCCCTCAGGGACACCCCCCGACCCCCTCAGACTCTCCAGGACCCTCTCAAACACCCCTGGGACCCCTTAGGGATCCCCCGGGACCCCCTGAGACCCTCCAGGACCCTCCCAAACTCCCCTGGGACCCCCTGGAGACCCCCCCCGGACCCCCCAGACTCACAGCCAGGTGGAAGCGGGGTGGGTTGCGTTCCCTGTGGGACCCATCCAGGATCCCACCCCCACAGACCCCTGAGGACCCCCCCGGACACCCCTGGGACCCCCCCAGACCCCTCAGGGACCCCCCCAGACACGCCCCCAGACTCACAGCCGGGCGGAAGCGGGGCGGGGGGGTCCGGTCCTTGCGGGCCTCCCGGGAACGGTTCCGAACCACCTTGCTGTGGATGGCGCAGCTCACGCAGTAATGGAGCTTCACGTACAGCTTGGGCAGCACGTAGGCTGGCAGGGGAAAAAAGGGGGTTAGGGACCCTAAAAACAGCCTCAGAGACCCCAAAAATACAACCAGGGACCCCAAAAATGCAACCAGGGACCCCAAAAACACCCCAGAGATCCCAAAAACACCCCAGGGCAGTAATGGAGCTTCACGTACAGCTTGGGCAGCACGTAGGCTGGCAGGGGGGAAAAAGGGTCAGGAACCCCAAAAAACGCAACCAGGGACCCCAAAAATACACCCAGGGATCCCAAAATCAGCCTCAGAGACCCCAAAAATACAACCAGGGACCCCCAAAACACCCCAGGGCAGTAATGGAGCTTCACGTACAGCTTGGGCAGCACGTAGGCTGGCAGGGGGAAAAAAGGGTCAGGGACCCCAAAAACGCCACCAGGGACCCAAAAACAGCCTCAGAAACCCCAAAAATACACCCAGGGACCCCAAAAACTCCCCAAAACCACCCCAGAGATCCCAAAAACACCCCAGGGCAGTAATGGAGCTTCACGTGCTGCACGTAGGCTGGGAGGGGGAAAAAGGGGTCAGGGACCCCAAAAATATAACCAGGGACCCCAAAAATACAACCAGGGACTCCAAAAACACCCCAGAGATCCCAAAAAAACCCCTTGGAGAGCCCAGAGACCCCCAAAACCAGGCCTGGGACAGCCCAGGGACCCCAAAAACCCCCGGGACAGATCAGGGACCCCAAAAACAGCCCCCAGGGACCCCAAAAACCCCCTGGGACAGATCAGGGACCCCAAAAACAGCTCTGCAGGGCAGTGGGGTGGCTGTTTTGGGGGGGCTGTTTTGGGGGGGCTGTTTTGGGGTCCTGTTTTGGGGGAAAAGGGGCAGCAGAGTGGGGTCTTTGGGGTGAGCAAGGGGGATCATTTTGGGGGGAAATTGGGGCTGTTTTGGGGGGCGTCAAGGGGAGCCATTTTGGGGTGACAGGGGCTGGTTTTGGGGTGACAGAGGGGCTCTTCTGGAAACCCGGATGATTTTTTTTTTGAGTGGGGACAAGGTGAGATAATTTTGGGGTGACAAAAAGATGATTTTTGAAGCGACAAAAGAAACTTTTTTGGGCTGACACCGTGACCCACCCGGGGCTGAACTGAATGATATTTTT